TTCCAAGGTCTTGTAAATTGCCATGCCTGCAGCACTCTGGTGCTGGGCAAATGCTGATTATTGCACAATGTCAGTCATTATAATTACTGGCTCTTCTTACCAAGAGAAAAGAATGTTTTGAAAAAAAAAAACTGCATTGTTTTCAATCAAAAGAAGAAGCCACAAGCTGTTCTAACAGCCTTGATTTCAAGTCCTATCTCACCGTAAGCTTACAGACGTCTTCGTGCATTTTGCTTTTCCATGGGAAAATACGTGTCAAATACAGAGATTCAATTTTTGCATACATGTGCATGTCAATTTTTTTATTTGCTATTTCCCTTCAAAGTCAAAGAAGAAAATTGTATTGGTGCGGTTGGGAGTATTGTTCAGTCAGGATGGTGTCTGTTGCCCAAGTACCAGGGATTGCGTTTGGATCCACTAGCATCCATTACGAGAGCTAGCCTGGGCAGTGCACGCCTGTGACTCCAGCACTGGTGGGTGCAGATACAAGAACTCTAGAGACTCACTATCAGCCAATCTAGCCAGAATTTTAAGCTCGGTAGAGTCTGGGTTCAGTGAGAGAGCCTGACTCAAACAAACAAAAGGGAGGAAGAAGACACATCAGCCTCTGGCCTCCATGTGGGAACACACCTACATAAGCATGCGTTTCCCACGTCTCTCTCTCTCTCTCTCTCTCTCTCTCTCTCTCTCTCTCTCTCTCTCTCTCACACACACACACACACACACACAGAGAGAGAGAGAGAGACAGAGAGAGAGAGAGAGAGAGAGAGAGAGAGAGAAGCATGTACACATACTTAAAGTCACACGATGACTTCCACCAATTTCTCTAGAAAGCAGCTGGTTGACCTATTCTCAGGCTAGTGACATTGAGAAGATTGACTGGTGAGACTGGGCTCCTGATGGTTCCAAGTACGGCTCCACTTTGCTCTCATCCCTGAATCCCAGAGCTCCAACAGAGACTGTAACAGCAATTTTACAGGTGGGTAGGAGCTGTTCCAGAGACAGCCGGCATTTGTTTCTCGACCTTTCTGAATTCTAATGGAGTCTACCCTGCATGTCACAGGTACCTGACCAATAATAAAGACTGCCCTGGCCTCATCTCCGGGATGGACCCAATACGTCAGACCTGTGACCTCCACTCTCATAAGAACCTCACCCAGCGTCATGTCTTCTGTCACACCAAACCAAGACACGCATGCAAACCACATCGTGGACTATTTTTAGAGAGGGAACATAGCTTGAAACACATATGCTCATATCTCAACATCCCCTAGTTCCCTCAATTATAGACACATGGGGTTGAAAGCTGGAGTTTTCCATTACGTTTCTAGAAGTACCGAAGCTACAGAAAACAACTCTTAAAATTCTTTTTGTGAAAACTCCGTTTATGGGGCAGGGAGAGCTGGGGAGACTGCTTAGTCAGTGAAGTGCAAGTCACCCAATATGAGGACTCATGTTCCCCTGTCCCCCGCCCATGGAAATAGCCAGGTGCATGCAGCTGCAACCCCGGTGCTGGAGGCTGGAGATGTGCAGATCCCTGATGCTTACTGGCCAGGCAGCCTAGCTGAGTGGATGAGCCACAGGTTCAAGGATAGACTCTGTCTCAAACAACAAGGTAGAGAGCAGAAGATGGTGATGGTTGACGTTGACCTCTGACCTTCACACACACATACCGCTGCCACCACCACCATCTTTGCAGCTAGCTTCTATTCTTAAACTATCTTTCAGAGTGTGGACAAGGCATTAAATGCTCTGCTTACTCACTGAAAACAAGCACCTGGTGGTGCTCGTCCTCCCCAGGGAACCTAATTCCCCCAGGCTCACCTCACTAATGTCTGTATGGGCTGGAGAGGCAGACACATCCCGTAAAATGTGTTTTGACTTACTCAGATGGCTACTGGGGAATGACAACCTGAACTACAAAAAGGCTGGGACTCTCTCCCCGGGACACATGCTACAACAGCTTCAGTCCTGACCATGTCAGCACCGAGGTTACAATGTGCTTCACAGCCTCCGAGCTGGGTCTCATATAAGAAATTATAAAAGCCAGCCCCACAATTCATGAACAGGATTCCAAAGCCAGGAGAGAGGGCTCGTAGAATGTGAAGTGCAGACAGCATGGCATGGATGGAACAGACAGACAAATGGACAGAGAGATGTGTGTGTGTGTGTGTGTGTGTGTGTGTGTGTGTGTGTGTGTGTGTGTATGTGTGTGTATAACAATCCAAGGTCTGATAATAGTGAGAAATCCTTCTTTTCCCTGGGGCTTCATCAGCATGCTCAAACCTGGACAGGTTGATTCCTTTCTCTGGGGCTGGTTTTCCTTTTCTTAGAAGGACAACTGGTTCTTCCTCTCTGAGCCTTTGATTTCCCCAAGCGAGAGAACTTTGCAACATTGCTCAGCTTGGCAAATGCCAGGGTTCTAGACTCATCCTGAGTTCATGATCCATCAACAAGGAGGGGTTGGGCAGAACTCCTTAATCTGGAGTGGCTGCGTCAGCAGGATACCCCATGCGCACACACAGTCCTTTCTTCACATTGCATCAAAAAGTGATGGTGGACGGAGCACCATCAGAAATAATGAAGACGCTAAGAAGACAGAGTATGAGATGTGGCGACACAAGCCTTTTAACCCCAGCACTCAAGGCACAGTGGCTGAGGATAGTCAGGGGTTCAAAGCCAGCCTGGTTTACATAGTAAGTTCTAGACTGAGCAGGACTACATAGAAAGAGCCTGTCTCAACTCAAAAGACAAAATAAATAAATAAGAAGAGAATAGTAAAATTAGACACTAATGGCCCACCTTTGCTTTTGGAGTTGGTCTGATTTGCATTTGGTTTTTGTTCTAGAAGTTTCTTGTAAAATGATGACTGTCCACTTGGGGTCTCTAAGACAAAGTTAGCCCTACTTCTCCCTTTTCACTCTTCCCTTGACATCAAATTCCATCTGAGAAGAAGGCTAGCTACAGAGGGCTTCCCTAGGGCCCTTTTCCCAGTGACTGGGCTCCTAAGTTATAAAACGTCAGGGGTGGCAAACACTTTATCTGAACACTTGATCAGGCAGGCAGCTGTACCAATATGGGGCCATTTCTCTTACAGAAAAAAATGCACAAGGTGAAAACCTGCCTTTCTTATGTGTGGAAGAATAGGGAACATAGAGGCTTGTCGTGGACCCCTATTTTAAGTTGTTTCCTCATGCAGGGCCATTATCTAAACTGTCCTAGAGGCAGCGACTGCTTTGGCTTTAAAGTTAGAGTGCCACAGACACCCTCAGCATAAGCCTTCCTAAACTTGCCTCCAGCCCTGGTCCTGCACCAAGCCATCCATTGCTCTGGCTTGCTTCTTCTCAAGTCCTCTGCTCTGACACATGGCCCTTGGGAATTTCTGTCATGCTTAGTGTAGGCCCTCCTTTTCAGCAGGCATTTCTACTCTGAAACCCCAAGGAGTACTGTGGGGATTCCTGGGTGTGTGATGACAGTGTGTCTACTAGGTCTGTTTTCATGCATAAAGAAGAATCGGGGTGTGATATCAAGTCCCTGAATTCCCTGAGTCTGATCATGGCTGGAAACCTGGCAGGAGGTAACATGGGAACAAGAAAGGCAGAGAGGAGGGAGTGACCAAACACAGCCAACAGAGGAAAAGGCAGTCAGCGTGGAAACCATGTCCTGGGGTATTATTCCTGGTGAGTGTGGGAGTCCTCTGCACGTTACTGCTTCAGGGAAATTGGAGAAATGGAGATGCGACCAGTTCCAACAGGTAGTCTAGACACGAGAAGTCATTTTCATGACTGCAGCAAAGGATGCCACAGCCACAGTGACCAATGGATAGCCATAGAGAGTCACACGCCCAAGGGCTACGACCTCAGAGCCCAGAGGAACTGCCCATGTTAACAAGGTTGTCTGTTGAGGATCACACCCCAGGAGCCTGCCTCAGAGGCTCAATGGAACTATCACCTGGAGGCGACCAGGCAAGGAAGTACCACTGGGGGTCCCTGGTATTTCCTAAGCTCATGCTCTGCACCAGGCACATAATGTCATCTAGTTAAGAAGGTGAAACTGGGGTTCCGGGAGGTTTTGAAACTTCCTGAAGGCTGAAGAATTCTCCTCACTGTGTTCTAGGGCCCATATTCTTAACAGTCTCATTCTTAGCACCTAACCTCTTCCACCAAAGCTTCTGGGGACAGGAGGGGCCCCACTTTTCAACATCCCAAACTCTGAGGGAATCATTTCCCAGGGACACTTGGCATGTTTAGAGGAAAGCCGGTGCCATCCAGGGCTCATCTGCCTACAGACTTGGAACTCTAGTGCAGCCTCAGCTCCTGGGCCAGGGTGTGGTCCTGGAAGAGTGTCACTTCTGTGTTTACTCAAAGATAGTCATTAAGTCACCGTGAAGACATCTTTCCTTCAGACTAAACAACCTCACTCCCTTTTTAAACACTCTCCTCACAGAAGCTCTTTTTCGAGACAATCTTTCTATACTTACTGGTCTTCCCCCAGCACTCTTCCCCTGGCCCTGTCTCTATTTTAAACAATTCTAGACTAAGATGTGTGCTAGGGAAGAAGAAAGGAAAGCTTTCACAGTTTTCATCTCCGGCCTTAACAAATGAGCACTAGATGGATGGGAGCTGCCTCTTCTGGTCCACTCTGACCATCAGGTCTCTGTACATGACCAGTCTTCTCTTCACTGTTTGTTTCTGGTCACATGGAACTTGACACTATATCTGAGGGTCTATTCCTTAGCCTCAGAGAGCCCCAAACTGTTCTTAATTCATTTGAACTGGCCTAATTTCCCTTTGATGTCAAAGACAGAGCTTTGAAAGAGCCCAGACACAGAAACAACCTTTGAGAAATGAGGGGGTTGACAAGGGGACTGCTCCTGTCTGCAGGGGTCTGATGGCCCTTTGGGAGAGACACTGAAGCCATGGACAGAAGATTTGTAAGACCCAGCTGGTTTTCGAGGACACCAGCCCAGAGAGTTACCAGCCCTGAGAGGGCCCACTTACTTCGGGGTTCTCTCGGTCCGTCCACTGTGATCTTGATGGCTCTATGGTAGGTGGCGACTTGTGGGGGGTTAGTAAAGACGGTGATGGTCAGAGTGAAACTCTTGCCTGTGAAGACACAAACGGGACAGGACAGATTGAGGGGTGGTCTGAGCATCTACCCGCACGTTAATCTAGGCTACCCAGACCCCAAACTGAACAGGTGACAGAGTCGAGCCGGGAGGATTTGTTCTCCTGGTAGTCCTATGGACCTGGCTTTGTTTCCAACCTGGAATGTACACAGAGGGTTCGCTAGGTGTGACACATTGCATAGTTATGTGGCTTTAATTCAATCATTAATTAACAACAGGATTAGGAGAGATCAGAGTTTACTCCCACATTGGGATTTTGGGAATTGCCAGCTGGGACTCATAGCCATCCACCCCTACCCTTTGTCCTCCTCCCATCCACACCGCCTTCTCTCGGCAGTTATAAAATCCAGGCCAAAGGAAGAGGAGGAGGAGGAGGGGGATGAGGAGGAGGAGGAGGAGGAGGAGGAGGAGGAGGAGCGAGCGAGCCCCACATTCCCCTTTTAACTCTGTACTTTGGAGGACTAGGAAAGATTGACTATAGCCAGGCTGAGGGTAGCTCAGTGGGTAGAGCAGTTGTCCAGCAAGCTTGAAGCCCTGAGTTCTGTGCCAGCATCGAGTACACCTGGGACGATGCTGCACACCTGTAATCCCACCACTCAGGTAATGGAGGCAGGAGGATCAGAAGTTCAAAGCCATCCTCGGCTATGTAGTGAGTTTGAAGTTAGTTTGGGCTACATGAGACTCTGTTTCAAAACAAAGGGGCAAACAAACCAAATCAGCAAGGATTGAAACTCTAAGCATGAAAACATGCTAAATTAGAGATTAGAAGCCAATGGTTGATGCTAAATACTATTTATAAGCACCAGATGACTGGCTCGATGTTGCACAAGCGTTAATGGGGTGAGGCAGAGTGAGACTATGCAGCCGGCAGACTGAGATTCACACGCATTGTTCATATGAAAGTGTGCCTGGCTCTCTCTGAAATATTTTACGTGTCTCTATGAAAGGTCAGCTCAGAGTTAAATCACATACGTTACTTCTTGGTCTTATGACTTCAGGGAATGGATTCCGGGTTTGAATTCCCCTGCTTCACCCTGACAAGCCACAAGATCTAGACTTCCTATGGCTCAGTGTTCTTGCCTGTAAAATGGGTGCAGGCATTTTTTCCAAATTTATGCAGTTTTGGACTGAGAGAAGAATACATGAGGTAAAGCATTATTACAACAGTGTCTGTCCTTAGTGTTCCCCTCTGCTCCTCAGAGCTCTGTATGGAATCCTAGTATTTGAGTGTGATACAAAGTATTTTACCTACACATTAGTTCTTCAGTTAATGCAATTTCTCTTCTTACTCACGTAGTAGGCAAAGAAACTCAAATGAAAGGGAGACAAACCTTGCCCACTAGCTCCAAAAGGCACTGGCTATTTTAAAACTCAGTGTATCGACCAGCCTGGTCTACAAGAGCGAGTTAGTTCCAGGACAGCCTCCAAAGTCACAGAGAAACACAGAAACCCTATCTCCAAAAACCAAAAAAAAAAAAAAAAAAAAGCCAAAAAAAACAAAAAAAAAAAAAAAAAAAAAAGCCAAACAAAACAAAAAACAAAACAAAAACAAAATCTAACTCAGCGTATCTGACTACCCACCTTAGAGGACACACACAGTTTCCAGTTGATATATATGTTTTAATATGGGTGAAGGCCACTCAAAAACTCCCCAAGAATACAACCTAAGGCCACTGAGAAATAAATGTTCCTAAGAATACAATCTACGGCCACAGCAAGCTGTACTCCTCATCATATAAAGTGTTCCCAAAGAATCCTGGAGTATCTGTGTGTAATCTCTCTGCTGAAGTCTATGACGGAAGGAACAATGGTGGCAGACAAGGGCAGTGACATAGTTCCATTCGCATCCTGAGGGGCCCGCGAGACCACACGGGAGTGGTTTCTAGGAACTGGGGTTCTATGGCACATGAGGCTCTGTGCCTAAGCCCCCCCCCACCTCTTCAGCCAGCCTCCTCCCCATAAAAAAATGCTGCCAGGCTCTAGGATTTGTCATTGTCAGACATCTGCAGGTATCATCGGGGACAGTCCATGGTCTTCTACCTTAGTGTCTCGCTGACTTGGAGGGATGGCCAACAGAAGCCAAGGGTGGACATGCTGAGAATGGTGTGCTGATGTGGAGGCTGAGGGAGCTGGCTGCCCATCCTTCCCTGTCAGTGTCAACTGTGGAAGCTGCCACGTGCTCTGCCGCTGTAAGGCAGGCTTCCAGCAAAGCTCATGGTGGGCTGACCTTTCTCAGCAAGAATCCTCATCATCCTAGAGTCAGCTCCCAAAATCTTCTCCCTAGAACCTCTCCCTCCTGCATCCCATGAGCTCAGCTCTCACGCTAGGGCCTTGGGACTCTGGGGCTTGTGCAGACACTGCCACTTCTCCAGCCATTCAGATTTGCTCGCTTGGGTCTTCCCACCTTCAAATCCCAGCCGCTTGCTGCTGTTCTGCTTCTCAGGTGGCTGTCCCTGAGGATGAGCTCACTCGTGACTATTTCAGATAGGCCCCACAAATCACTCTTCACCTTGATTACTTAAGACCTCTGCTTTGACAGCATTTGTGGTTATCCAAACTTAACCTGCCTGGAGGCAGGGACCATGTTCTCCAGGGCCTAGCATCCTTCAGAAGCCTGGAAGGAGGAGAACAGGCAGAGGCTTAGGGGTAGCAGAAGCTAGTGAAGTGAGAGGCAACAAAGGGAAATTACCTTGAAGACACCAGCATGAGGGTGATGGCTCAGTCCTGAGCTGGTCTTGGGGGTGTGTGCTGTGGGGAGTGGGGGACAGTGGGATCTGGTGCCTCCAGCTGGAGAGTTAGAAGATTTGGATTCTCCCCTGGTCCCAGTTCAAGGGGTACTTGTGGTATGGCTCACAGCTCTCTGATACTGTCTTTTGAGCCTGAGGCAAAGGCCTACATTGGACATCTTTCTTCTCAACTCAAGGCTATGGAATGCCTGTAGCATCTAAAGTTCTCTGAGCCACAGGTTCAGCCACTATTGCCTGAAGTGTGTGTTATAGCTCTCTGATGATGTCATCTGAACCTGTGACTATCCAGCATGGTGTCACCATGAACAGATGCCTGGTGGCCCATGTCCTCAGTTTGGTGTCACCATGGACAGATGCATGGTGGCCCATGTCCTCTGTTGCTTATGGCTTCAGAACTGCAAGGACCTCAAGGATCTTTGAGTGCGAGCAGTCATGAGGCTGATGCAATACAGTATTACGGCTTAATGCATTCAGGTTCAGTCTCACACTACTCTGGAGCTGCAAGGCCAAGGCGAAGGTGCCTGTAGAGCTGCTCCTTTAGGAGGCTCTGGGGGAGGCTGGCTCCTTCCTTCTCCTTCCGACTTCATTAGACTGTCAGCAGCATCCACCTTCTGTAGGAACTTGTACTCTCAGTGCCCCAATCTCTGACTCCATCTCTGTGTGGTGCCTTCCTGTAGTATAGCCCCTGACTTTCCCTGTCCTTAGAAGGCCAGCATGTGTGGACTTGGGTACCACATGGTCTTCAGCTCACTGCACTATGGTGACCTTACTCTAAGTAAGAGCATATTCTGAGAGTCATGGTGCCTGTTGACTTTCTGAGCAAATTCTTCATTCCCGGCATGTCATTGCGAGGGTCTCTAAACTCTGAGACAGCCCCGTTCTCACCACCCTCCTTACGTCACTCTACCCAACAATTTCCTAAAGAGCAACAAGGAAATTTGTGTTCGAAATAGCGACATCTTTGGGTGTTTGTAGAACTTACAATGTTTCCAACACATTCTCCTATGTGATTTCATTTGGCTGTTACCACAGATTCATGAGCTGAGCATTATGGGTTTTACACTCCTTAACAGGGTGCAATGCTAAGACTTTGAAAGGCAAAGTTACTTTCTTAAAATCACTCAGCTCTGGTTGACAAGATGGCTCAGTGGGTGAAGATGGTTGCTGCCAAGCTGGACAACCCCAGTTTCATCTCTGGGATCCATATAATGAAAGGAGAGAGCTGGCTCTCACAAGTTATCCTCTGACTTCCATAGTTATGTTACAATACAGACAGACAGACAGACATATAGACACACACACACACACACACACAGAGACACACACAGACACATATACACATACAGACACACACACACATATACACAGTCACACACACACACAGAGACACACACATATACATAGTCACACATACACAGAGACACATACATACACACACAGACACACATATACACATAAAGACACGCACACAGACACGCACACAGACACACACACAGACAGATACACACACACACACACATAACAAAAAATTAATCACCTAACTTAAATACAGAACAAGGAATCCTAAGCTTTATACCCACCAACTTCTGTGTTTTTGTCATTGGTGTCAAAAGTGTCCACCTGTGCCAAATCCAAACTCAGGAGCCCCTTTTCACCTCCACTGTCACCTAAAGTCAAAATTGCCCCTGTGACTCTAACACAAAACTGTTCTAGGCAGCTGCCTATGAGCCAGGGTCTGGGCTTGGTGGCAGTCTCCTGGGGTGGACTGGACTCTTGGGAGGTGAAAGCTTGTGAGAAGTCTCTGATTAACCAGAGACTAGCTGGCTTAGGAGAGGAATTCGGTTGCAGTGGAGGCTGGTGAGGTCACCCCTGGCCACCAGGATTTTCATTACTTTATGCTCACCATGTTATGCGCAAACATGAGGAATTTCCACTTAGTGATGGCTGCCAGGTAGGAAGCTGTCGCATCAGTAATGGGAGGAGATAAACTAGTGGTTAGCCTCACGAAGGGCTCTGGTTACAGCCGACGTGGACACGACGCCACAGGTCAGTTGTGGGTGTCATTCCTCAAGTACTGCCCATCTTGTTATTTAGACAGGGCCTCTCACTGGCCTGGAACCTGTGGATTCACCTAGGCTGGCTGACCGGTGAGCCCGAGGGCTGTGTCTGTCTCCACACCCTCCTTGGGTCTTCCTGTTTGTGAAACAGAAACTTCACAAACTGAACGGTC